GTCCCAAGAAGTGCAAAGAGGAGAGGAGCCCCAGCAATAGGGATATAGCTCACTCTGTAGAGTGGTTGCTAGCCTCGCATGCACAAGGCCCTGGGTTCAATCCCTAGCATCACAGAAAAAAGGCTGTTGAGCACTGGGGTTTTGGCTCAGTGGTAGAGAGCTTGCCTAGCACATGTGAGGCATCGGATTCGATCCTCAGCACCACATAAAGATAAAAAATAAAGGTATTCTGTATATCTACAACTAAAACATATTTAAAAAAATAAAAGAGGAGAGGCGCCCAAAATCTCAGGTAACAATAGCCGAGAGAGGAGGATAGGAATGCAACACCCCAAGCAGAAGCAAGGTCCACCTGTCCTCACTGCATGGAACTGCTAGGCCCTGAAGAGAGATGTTGACAAGTCACAAAGGGTCAGGACTTGGCACATCTTGTTGGTTCTACATGGAGACAGAAGGACCGTGGGCTAGAAATCCCTCCTCATCCAGGCTGTGCTGGAGCAGGATCACTGCCCAGTAGAGAACAACCTCACCTTGTCAGACACTCTCAGATTCTTGTCCCAGGCCAGGAATCTTTTGACAACAGGATCTTCTGTGAACAGAACACTGGTGTTAGTTGGGAACCAGAAGGGGCTTCATGGGTGATAGACAACAGAGAGAAGAATAGGACCTCCACTGAAGAAGGTGTGGGATTGGAGTGCAATAGAGCCCAAAAGAGCCCGATATCCCAGTTGGATAGGAAAAGGACAGGAACATTCCTGGGAAAGCTGCTTTGCCCTGAAACCCCCCCAGGGAAACAACTGAGTGAGGGTTGGGGTAAGAGATAGACGTCTGTATGACTAAGAACTTGGAGTAAACCGCGAGGGCCCATCATCCCCCAAGAATGCACCACCTCAGAATTAGAGTTACTATGTTATTTTCTAGTTTGATAGGCACCGCTCAGGGAGGAGGAAATCTATTAGAACCACAGTGTCTGCAATCAGTGAGGTTAATTGGAATCAAGCTCTGTGATCCCAAGCAGGGTCATTTTTCAGGTGTAATGTAATCATCCATCATCTAAGAGTTTCACAGGGTACATGGGTCCTGAGTCCTCCAGGAATGGGGATCTCAGGGATAGCAGGGCTCTTTGGAAAAGTGCAGTGGCTGTAAGTTCCTTGTTTGTGTAAAGAGCAGGATTGGAGGGCGCTACCTGGGTGTCTCCCTACCTAGAAGCCTCTTGAAAACCTCATGGTGTTCTGGTTGCACCGAGTTCATGCGCCGTTTTTTGAGTTTCATTTTGAGGCCACACAGTGACACCACATCCCAGGGGTGATTTGGCTCACTTTCCAGTTCCTCCAGCTCATCCTCAGATTCAGTGGAGGACTCTCTCTTTCTCTTTAGGCCAGTGGTCTCAGGCAGGAGGCCAGATTCTACCCAAGGTACTGAATCAAAAATCCCCGGGGGATCATCATCCGAGTCTCCCTCAGATTCTGAGGTCCACTCTCTCTTCCTCGAGGACCGACATGGGAGGCAGGGTTTTACCCACAGAGCTGAGTAAAGGAAGCAGAGTCAGGCTCCTGTATTTGGAACTCATCCTTTCATCCTCTGATACCAGTTCACCTCCCACACCCCAGACCTTCAACTGTTGCCTTCTTAGCTTGGCTGGTAGCTGTCTTCTCCTTACCATTGTCCCATCTCCCTGTTCCTCAAAACTCTTTCTCATTATGGACACTTTCTCTCATGGGTGGAGTGACCCTTTTTACATCCCCTGTACCCATTTCCTGAACTTAGATCTCATCTTCTAGCCCAATTCCTTTCTCTGCAGATTTTCCATCCATGTGGACTTCCTTGTCCCGTGGCCTATTCTGAACTTCAAAAGTGGGCTTCCCACCTTTCTGGCTGCTCTATCCCTTCCTCCTTACCAGTCATC